TATATATATATCTTATGCAACCAGTAAGTCCAAATGCACAAGCAAGAATGAAAGATTGTCAATATAGGATGAAAAAATGATAACAGTTGCAAAGTTTAGATGCATAAGTAGGTTGAAAGATGTCAAAATGGGGTGGAAGAATGAGGGCAATTGCAATTTGCATTATACATCATCGTTGCATATGAACTCTATGAACTAATGAAAAAGAGTTAGTTAGAGAGAAAGTCTATAACTAGTGACAGTCTAAATCCAAAACACATTGACATACTTAAGATACTCCATAAAAAGATAGGAAGAAGAAGTTTTCTGAAATCCGAACACAAATGTGATGAAAGAACATATAGATTAGTTCGGTGACTGATTGCAAGTAGTAGCATTGTTGTTGGCCTCTGAGAGGTCCATGATAGGTTTGGTGCGTGTTTGATTGGACCCAAAAACAGTCTCATCCGTGTCTCAAATGCTTGGTTCTCATGGACCCCATTTCCCACATGGGTGTATAGTTTACGTTGCCGGCTACATACCCCCGCGCACGTTAGCCACAGCCCCTTCCTTCCCTAGCTCCCTCTCAAAAACCATTCCTTTACTTGAAGCAGGAGAGAGATGGGTGTCCAGATCAAGGAGTTAACCTTTGATGTGATTGGCAGCAGACCCCACAAAGTGTATGTGTATATATAAAAAAGAAAAGGTTAAAAAAATGCTAAATATTGTTGCAAATGGAGAGAAAGAGTGGGGACTGGCAGGGAGTTATGATGTCTAGTGCATCGGGAAACAGCTCCCGCGCTGTTTTCGCGCGCCTCTCAGTGAAACGACACCCCGATATGGGACCCAAGAAACAGGAAGTAACAAAAGAAAAGTGGGAGTGTTTTTTCTTTTGTTGTTGTTGTTGTTGTTGTTGGGGGAGTGATGAGACTGAGAGAGATCCACCCATATGGTTAGCAGCAGCAGCTGCAGATCAGTTGGCAGCAGCGGCACTGGGAGTTATCTTCTAGTTTTCTCTAATAAACAACTGGTAGCGTGGCTTAAGTGTCACATTAAAAAAGCAAGAGTCAGTGAGTCAGTCAGTCTGAGGCAGTAGATTAGACCGAGACTGACTACTGTTGTCTTCGTATGGTAACGTTCAGTTGTTCCTTCTTTCCTTCTTACAGGTGTCGTAGTATTTCTGTCTTGCCTCTATGTCTAGTCTCTGTTATGCGGACCTTATTTCGGGTCCCAGCCCTTTTTGTGTTTTGTAATCTAATTGCCTAACTTTGAACGCAGACTTCCTTTTTCTTTCCAAACAAGAAAACATGTGCTTCCTACATTCCAGTTCCTACTTCGATTAAACAAAATTAATTAACGTCTAATGGTTTAATTAAAGTAAATTAATAAATACAGTGTTGAGTCAGAACTGATAACAGTAAGCATTCAGTATAGATACAGTGTAAGGATGTAAGGTACCTTTATTCTATAATTTAATTATAAACTTGTGCAGATAATCATTTCATAGAAAAGATTAAGAACAGTAATCTCTTATTAATTATCCCCTACAACTTTTACACTATGATTTGCGACCACACACTGTCCCTTACATTGAGAATGCATGCTTAATTTCTTAGCACCTTTCATAAAAACAAAATTAAGAGCAAAAACAAGATCTTTGTGTAGATCTTAGGAATTGAAAATCCCACTTGAACCTGAGGATTTTATCTTGTTTCCCGATTGGGGTTTTAATGATTTAATCCGCACATGGGACAAAATCAGTTAAATGGCCAAATCAGGAAAAGCTCCAAGCTAGCTAGTCACACACAATATAATAACACCAGCAAAAGGTTTTCAACATGAAACAGTGATATACACCTGCATTCAAAAGGACCTAACAGGTTTCTTTTCATGCAGAAACTTTCTATTTGGGAATAGTTAAAACAGATTGATCAAGAAGAAAACCTTTGTTCGGGCATACTATTTTAAGGGCGCAGCCTAGGTGACAAACATGTCAAATTATACGTAGATACGGCAATGACGCAAAGGATGCCATGTCCTAATTTAAAAATCTTTCTTGTTTTCGATATGATTATACATATTATAATGGTTTAAGGTACAAGTGCGTTATTCTCTTAAACTCTTCATCTTCTGTACATTGATGAATTGAAGAATTAGTCAAATCATCAAAACGAATACTTATCCCCCTCGCCATTAGCAATATTGCCGTTTGCCACCAAGGCAAGCATAAGCTAAGCAAAAGGGATTAGAGAAAAAATGAAGATTGAGTGGGCCACCATATATCTATATATATAGAATAGGAATATTATTATTGCATAGACAAAGTATATGTATGCATATGTGTAACTTTGCTGTGACTAATGGCAATTGACATCACGAATCAATTAGCTGCCTACATTATGATGACGACCGGCATTCAAAAATTTTTCAAAGTGCAAAAGAATAAAATAATAAAAAAGAAAGAAAGAAAGAAAGAACAAGAAGATTCCCTCCCCATCCCCTCTTTTCTTTTTCATTAACCTTTTCTTAAATTGGACATTGTTAAATCTATTTATAATCTATCATGTTTTATGCATGGGATTGAGGTTAGAAAAATATTTTTTAAGCCCCGTGCAAATTTAATAGTTAAAGAGACCAAACGTACATTAAGCTTTTTGACTATGAGATTGCCATGGATTACATGTAAAGATGAAATAAAAACCAAATAGAAAAAAGGAGTGTGCGTGGCAAATGCTACGGAAAGATAATAGTTCATTTTATTTGGGAAAGACATCTCTCTATTCAGATTGGGAATGCCACTAGCTAGGCAAATGCTATGCTTTAGATCCAAATAGGTTACTTTTTATGCTTAATATGCAAAGTTTTTGTTTAAATAATATCTATTATTTATATTTTAAACTATTTTATTCTCTAATTTTGAATTTGTTGAAAACTTATGTGGATGAAGGCCATTTAGACTTGTCGGCGAATGTGAAAATTAGTGAGGGAAAGGATTAGAATAATTAGTATTGAAGAGCCTCCCTTATCTTTCCTTGAGTCAATGCTGAATTAGTGATTATAGTAAGTTTTTAATTTCCCTAATTTAGGTGATTAGACACAAACCATCCATCTTTCCCTTGACTTGAAAAGGACCTTTAATTAGCAAAAGCTGTTTACAACCCTAATCTAAATCCTCTTTCCTTGGGAAGGAATACTTAGTTTCAATAATAGACATAAAGGGGGAATATTTACCTAATAAAGCAAAATGACAGTTGTGTTAACTTAGCTTTGTTGCATATATTAAATTAAATGCTAAGCAGCTGGAAGGAGGATATCATAGACAAAAATAATGATCCTATTTGCTCTCTATCGAATCTAAGTATATGTGCTCCAAATGATTCCACGTAACAAATTAAACTTGTTGATTAGGAATCAGAGATCAGAAGAAAAACCCAAATGGAAAATTGTATCACCTTGGATTCTTGTCATTAGGTATTGATTGGTTGATTAATTAGGAAGTGCTTAAAAGATAATGCTTCGGATAATTATGTGCTAATTATATTTCAGTCAATTCACAATCGATTTCAAGATTATTATAACCACTTCATTTATCTTACATTTAATGATTTTGTATATGATTTGATATGCAAATTTTTTAAAAACAATCATAAAGAGAAAATGTTTTTAAGAATAGAAACATAGAAAATTAATAGTATCAAAAAATAAAAGGTAAAGTACTGTTATTTGATAAATATTTATTGCAAATTTTTTAATTGTTATTAGTTTGCTCTATTGAAAAAATTTTCTCATTAATATTTGGTATGCAACAAAGTTTGCATCAATAGAAAGGTTTATGATTGTAGTAGTACTATATATTTGCACAAAAATTAATGCTTAAAGACCAGTCAAAAGTTTGATTAAAATAACATAAGAAGTTCAAGCGAAGAGGACTGTCCTCATAGGATTTGGTTTGTACCTTTTTTACTTTTAGTAATAATTTTAC